GGTGATGTTGCCTCCCTCTGTCCTAATGTCCGCAGTTTGGATGTGTCAAGGAACTTGTTCTCGAACTGGCGTGAAGTGATACAGCTGTCTGCTCAGTTACCTGATTTGAAGGAGTTGGATGTTAGGTATGTTAGTCAAAAATATACTAGCTATTGCATGCCACTCCGTCCGCACGGAATTAAACGAACTTAATTCTACTATGTGTTCTTCCATACTATGTTCTACATGAATGCCAAATTTAATTGAGATTGGTTGAGTCATTCTGGAGATAACTTTTAACATACATCCATCCATCTAAACATTCGCATTTATAATATTAGTAAGATATATAACATTTTCATGACACTATGTCAGCCTTACCAATTATTATGTAATTTTTTATGCATATTCAGTAGATCTGAAAATTACTATTTAGTTTTTAATCTAGTGCAAACGGAGTTTAGGGCGATAGCTTAGTTATCTGTAGAAATATGTATTGACCAATCCAATCCATCAATTTACATATGCATATCTTCCCTACTCATAATAAATGTTCTATGATAATTTTTCATTGTTACATAGTAATATTTATCACAAAAAGTTCTATATCTCTTTCCTTCCTTGAATTGACAGGGATATCGCGGTGGTAAGTTAACACGATCCCGTGGCGTCCCACATATGGCTATGAGGGAACAGAGGGGTTTAGTGGGTATGCTCCCATTCGGGGAGAGAATCCCACATAACTACCGTGCCTTCCCCTAGGCACGGAGTATGCCTAAAGCATTCCCCTCTGAAAAAAAAGGGATATTTCCCTGTCTAGTACAGCCTACTCTTTCAACTGCACTTTCTCTTTCCTTCCTAATTATGTGCAATTGTAAAGTCAAAATATGTCATATAAGGATTCTTTTAAATGTTCATATTTATGTTTCAGCAAAAACCGTATGGCAATCGACATGTCTGAAGAAACACTATCCCAGTTGTCTATAAACTTTTCCAGCCTCGAGAAACTTAATATATCTGTCTGTGACTATGAATGGTCAGATATCGTAGTGTTGTCACATCTCTGGCCAAAAATAAACGAAATAATAGCAGCTTATAATAGAATTAAAAAGATAACATCACCGGAAGTGACGTTACGCACTTTGACTATATTACGTTTAGACGGCAACCCTATAGATTCATGGAACGAAGTGAACAACCTCGGAAGATTGAATTTAAAAGTATTAAGTCTGAATGATTGTGAAATTGGTGAAATAAGGTTTAACAATGATCCTGGGAATGGAAAAGTCAATATGTTTGATAATTTGGAAGTTTTATTTTTGAACAGGAATAAAATTAATGACGTAAGTTAAACAAATCTTTTAAAATCTTAATACAAAGATGTTTGCTAGTTTTAGACATGATTAGTTAGAATAATTTGTCGCGAATGACGCGCTTTCGTTACAAAGTCAATTGTCAGGATTAGTGAGGGGACATAAACGTTGACATTTTAGTAAGGCTAGTGTTGCGCCAGTACACCGGCAGTATCGGATTTTCTTTCTAACACTAGAAAATAGTTTTTTGATATTATTAAGTGGCAAGCAAGGAAACAGTCAATCGAATTCGCCAAAATAGCGAAGCGACTTGCCATTTACAGACTAGACATTTGCAATAGTTGCATTACTTAATCTATGCAGTGAGAACAGAATAATATTTTCCCTTCCTGTGTCCCTTCTCCAACAAAATCAGAAAGAATGGAAAGGGAAAGTTCCTTACCATCCTTTCCAATTTACTTACCAATTAGTAAAACTTAATTTTTATAACATAATTTTTTTTGTTAATTTCAGTGGCGTTCAATAAGCGAATTGGATAAATTGAAGAATTTAAAGAAATTATATTTCTTAAAGAATCCAATACAAAACAGTGAAGACTACGACACCACTTCACAGCTTGTTATTGCTAAAATTGGATCTTTGCAGGTGAATATTTATATATATTAAACTAGCTTTTGCCCGTGGAAGACCATAGGGAATTAAAAAAAACTTAATTAGTAGCTTATGTGTTCTTACAGGTTATGTTCTATATGTATGCCAAATTTCATCAAAATCCGTTCAGAAGTGCCAGAGATATCTTCAAACAAACTAAACATTCTCATTTATAATATTAGTAAAATTACTAATCTTATTATGAATGGATAGATGGATGGATGTTTGTTACAATGACATACATTGTACAAAACGGCTGAATGGATCTCGATGAAATTTGGCATACATATAGCACAAATTCTGAAAAAAACACATAGGCTACTTATGTTTCTTTTATTTCCGCGCGGACGGAATCGCGGGCTAAAGCTAGTACTAATTATAAATATGGAAGTTAAGATGTATGTTAGAATCTCCGGAACAAAGTGTATGGATCTCGCTGAAATTTGAGATTTAGAACAAAGTCTGCAAGAACGCATAGGCTATTAAGTCTTTTTCTTAATTCACCTACTATTTTATAGTTAAAAGATGTTACACTTTTATCAGTAGATATTTTTTTTATTTTTGTAAAATATTAGCAGATTTTTTGTGTAAATTGACTAATATTTCTTTAACCATTCCAACTAAGCTCTAGGCTTGTGCTAGGATATGGTTTACAATAGTCGAATGGCGGGATTCGAACCCCCGACCTTGTGGTCGTAAATCCGTAACCTTAACCATTAGGCTATTGACGCTTAAAAAATTTGTAGCTGATCATATCACGCAGCATCATCTGTGAAAGAGAAAGAAACAATCGCCGTCTCACTTCCACGATGCGGAGTGGGGGAGTTATTTGTTGTCTCGCTCACACACTGCAGAGTGGGGGAACAATGTGTTGTTCTAAACGCCCTAACTTATCTACACTCTTCTCGTGTATTTAAATAGCTCATTTTTGCCAAATAAATATTCATTCATTCATTCGTCAATTCTGGAACTCGTCGATTTACTCAGCTACATCTCCTAAATATATATTATATATCAATATTTCAGGAACTAAACGGTTCAATAATAACAAGGGAACTCCGTCGTGGTGCTGAATATGATTATCTCAAACGCTACGGTGGTGAATGGAAACTTGCTCAGCAGGATAACGCATTGAAAATGGCTTTTGATATTGAACATTGTAGATTCCAAGAACTTGTTAATAGTAAGTTATTTAACAAGTTTAATTTGCAGTGGAATACCACTATTATAATGTAAAAAAAAATGTAGATTAAAAAATATTTTTGTATATATTTCTTGGTTTGCTTAGCAACAGAAATTTAACTAAATTAGATATATTTATCAACAAATATTTGATTTCTTAATATTAATATAGAAGTAGCGGACCCGACAGACGTTGTCCTGTCTACACGTCTTTAATTTAAATAAATTAATATGAAGTTAATATTTGATGAAAATTGTGAATCTAAACCATTCCCAGATCCCCTTGAACACACACAAAAAATTTCATCAAAATCGGTCCAGTCGCTTGAGAGAAGTTCAGTGACATACACACTCACAGATGAATTATATATATAAAGATTCTCATGTCGTAATGTTAGTTATACTTCTATTGAAACAGATTGATTGAATTTTATGAAATTTTATTGCATATTTAGCAGGTTTGAGAATAAGCTATTATGTGTTTTTAATCCAGCGAGAATAGAGTCAAAATACTGTATCTTCAGCTCTCTATAGATCTTGGAGGCTACCCTTTGAATTTCTTCTCCAATATGTTCAATATCACGATGTTTTCCTTCACTGTAAGAACGTCGAATAAATGTACATATATAAATCAAAAATGGAAAAACACATTGGTACATGGCGGGATTCGAACCTAGGACCTGCAAATTACAAATCTAGTGCTTTAACCCCTACGCCACCGACACTGTAGTAATACAGTAAAATAATCTATTTTTTTTTTAATTTATTTCAGAATACGGGATACCAGATGACAGCTTGTTAGTCAAACAAGTGAGGAACACGACATTAACATCACAATTATTAGAAATTATATTACGCGATGAAAACGGAAAAATATTAAAAAAGAAATTCCCATCGACTATGGCTGTACAAAAGCTGGTAACACTCGCACAAAGACTGTTTTCCAAGACTGGCAACACTGGGACGCCGACATTAAATCTTGTAGACGACCAAATGAAGGGCGCAGAAATAACTTTGGACAATGTTATGAAAGATCTGGCATATTATTCTATTAAAAACGGCGATACAATTCTTGTTCGGTTCAGATAATGTGGAAACTGGAAATTTTTACATGGCAACACTAAACGCACGTTTTGTTCATTGGCTTATAATATTACAGATGATTTCTATTGTTCAATTATTTAACAAAGAAAGCTTTGTATATATGACTAAAATTATACCTTTATTTATTGCGAATTTTATTTTCTAAAATAAATATCCTATTGTATTTTGTTTCGTTGTCTTATTTAATAATAGCTGTCGCCCGTGACTTCCTTCTCGTCTAATTAAAAAAAACTTAATTAGTAGTCTATGTGTTCTTTCAGACTATGTTCTACATCTGTGCCAAATTTCAGCAAGATCCATGCAGCCGTTCTGGAGATACCTTCTAACAAACATCCATCGATCTAAACATTCGCATTTATAATATTAGTAACATTTTTTAGTATATATGAATTTCCATTCCACCTGTGACCTTTTCCTTGCGAGAAAAATAAAACATCTGTGGCCTTGGAAATGACATTGTGAAAAGAATAACAATGAATACAAAATTAGGGTAATTTTCAACACACTGACACTAATTTTGCTTGATAATTTATAAATATCAGATGTGATTATAAGGTTGTTGTGAAGAATTGGTGGTCTAATAATAAAACAGTGCGTTATTTCATAGTTTAAATTTTATTTTGTAATAAAAGATCGATTTAGGTTATAATGATTATATTACTTTTCTGTTTTAAAATATTATTTACAGGTATACAAATTAAGAATTGGCACTTACAAATTGTACAATTAAAAATAAAAAAAGTTGAATAAAATAATTATAAAAAAGGTTTATTATGTTTTAATACTGGTCACATCGAACTTTATCGCTATTGGTAACCGTTGTGTCAACAGAAAAAATATAAATGTTTACAAATGGCATCTGGCGACAAATTCAAAGTCGCGGATTGAATTTGTGTCAAATATAATTTTAATTAGTATTTTAGTGTACAGTGTAGTGATGGGTAATTGTTGGGCTATATTTCGACGGCGTAGATTACGTCGTCATATAGTTTTAATACTTATTGGGTTAGACAACGCGGGCAAAACTAAGACAGTGAACAATTTGGCAGGAGAAAAGGATGACAAAGTTTTACCTACAGTTGGTTTTAAAGCTGTTAATTTAATACACAAAGATACACCCGTTACGATCTACGATTTAGGCGGCGGGCCGCAATTTCGTCAAATATGGAGTCAATATTACAGCGAAGTGCACGGAATCATTTTTGTTATCGACTCGAGTGATTTTCAACGGCTGGACGAATGCAAAGCGGTACTTGAAGAAGTTTTGTCACACGATCGAATATCAGGTATAAATTATTTATTAAATTCACCTAATAAAAGTTATTAGTTATTATATTTCCTTGTAGACATCAAAATTAATATGAAAGTACCCTCTTACAAGGAAGTTATTTCGTGTATTTTAATTATGTCTGCATTTCACGTATCGAGTTATACAGTTTTTAAGTCTTAAATGGTATAATAACATAGGTTTTATATAGCTATATTACTGGCAACTAATATCGCGTTACAAACTCGAGCATGGTTTTTTAATTAAAATCTTATCAAGTTAAAGCTGGGTAAAATCAATTATCACACTGTTTATATACGCTATGCTTATTAAGATAGTGAAATTAAACTCGACAATGGCCACTAAGGGAGAGCTATAGTAGAAATAATATTAACATTTCGTCATACACTTAACTCATAATTTACAACTTCGTAACTTCAAATACCAACATATTTACGACGTGTCCTTATCGTTTTCAATATTTCTGACGTGTACAGTAAGTACGGCAAGGCTATACGTACACAAATTAACGTAAAACCCGGTGATTTTAGTCGCTAAGACTTAAGCTTAATGTCATGTAGACTGCGTAAGTCGCCGACATTAATATCTGTCGAGAGTCGCTCGCAACCTGTATGCTAACATCGATAATATTGTGAGATAAGTTGCTGCAATTTTCAAGATGGCGCAGCAAATCTATACAGTTGACATATAGTTGCTGCTTGTACTGGCCGAAAGACTCGCGTCGACGATTCAACATTGTGTGTTCGGAGCGCGAACAACGCGATTCTCGCGACGCAGCCACGCTCTCTTGTGATTTTTGTATAAATTATTTTTTATACATCACTAACTATCGCCCGCGTAATAAAAAAAAACCTAATTGGTAGCTTTGTGTTCTTCCAGACTATGTTCTACATTTATGCCAAATTTCAGCGATATCTATGGAATCGTTCTGAAGATATCCATCCATCCAAACATTCGCACTTATAAGATTAGCATCTACGGAAAGTTGGTATAGTATCCTATTCAATACATATTCTGTTAATCATCAGGTAAGCCAGTTCTGGTGCTGGCCAACAAACAGGACAAGGATGGTGCGCTGGATGACATCGATGTTGTGGAGAAATTGAATATTGAACCACTTGTTAACAAGTATGTAATACTAGCTGTCGCCCGTAACTCTATCATCGCGGAATTAAAAAAAATTAAATTAGTAGCCTATGTGTTCTTCCAGACTATGTTCTATATCCCCTCCAAATTTCATCACGATCCCTTGAGCCGTGACCCGTTAAGCTGTTCTGAAGAAACGTTTAAATAAACATCCATCCATCTGGAAGGATCTGGACGGCTGGCATTCCACAACGGTGCGATTCTCGCGCAACTTCTTGCCTCGCACAGCCGCGTTGTGGAACGGTCTGTCCTCGGCGGTATTTCCAAACCAATACGACTTAGGGTCCTTCAAGAAGCGAGCCTATCACCACCTCAAAGGCCGGCAACGCATCTGCGGTTCCTCTGGTATTGCTGATGTCCATGGGCGTCGTTGAACACTTCGGTGTTCCCGCTGCTCGTTTGCCCCCTTCTGTTATAAAAAAAAATCTAAACATTTATAATATAAAAAAGTAAGATGAAATCTTTTTTCTTTATAATATCAGTATTAATTTTTCACGTTTAGAAATTCTAATAAAATATTTCAGGTACAGATGTCCAACATTAGTCGAATCTTATACAGCTTATCCAACAGAAACTAAATCTAAAAAAACAAAAATAGATCCCGGATTACGTAAAGGTTACCATTGGCTTTTAAATTATATTGTACGTAGGTACGGTGATATTAATTTACGTGTACAAACAGATATACACGCTGACTTAGAGAGACGTAAACGTTTACTAAATAGGGCTGCTAATCGTACATCACAGACGTTTACAGCTGAAAGTGATGTGGGTACACAAACAGGTTTTGAAAACCCTAATTTCGATCCCCATAGAGTAGATAGAGAGAAAGATCTAGAAAGTGGTGTTATAGTGGTTAAACCAATTGGAGTTAAACCAAATAGTTTGGATACGACAATCACCGTGGAAAGTGTCGATACTGATACGAGTGGTAAACCTAAATTATCGCCATTATTTGGACGTAGCAGTAATAGTACGGTTAATGAAACTGTACGGATAGAATTGGAACCGAGACATGAATTTAGAAAATTATCTCCGATTGTCCGGAAGAAGAGTGCTGGATCACAGCCTTTTGATTTCAAGAACAGACCACATTCCAGTCCGACGACGAAGAAAATTAAGGTGAGTGGAAATTAACCTTTCAAAGTTTCAGTACGAAACATAGTTGTCCCTCTCATTCTATTTGAAAGAAGAGAGAGATGACAATATTCTAATGTGATGTTTCAGCAAAGATATTTAAGGTGACAAAAGAGTACTTCGTTGTTTTTATCATGTCCCCAAATGCATTATATTTACAACGTTACGACATATTGCCGTCTTCTCCTCCCCACTCTCCGAAGTCGGAGCGGGGGCGGCAGAGGGTTCTCTCGCGCTCCCGCTCCTGTGCCTGAGGTACGGAACATAGTTTGGAAATATATTAAGCTACATTTTTTAGTGGTACGGAACCCTAAAAAATGTAGCTTAATATTTGTCCAAACTATGTTCTACATCTATGCCAAATTTCAGCGAGATCCGTCGTTCTGGAGATACCTTTTAACAAACAAACTTTCGCATTTATATTACATTTTATCTAATAGGCAAGTCAAAGTACAGTATCAAAGAATTCGTCAATCCAAGAGGATGATAACAAAGATGATATGGTCTTGAAATACTCTGGGGATAGTAAAACTTGGGACGCAGGTCTGAAACATCGAGTTTTCGTCAAAGATGTGGAACTGTCGCAGATGCATCGAGAGATTGTCCTCACTGAGAGAGGTAGGAATTATACTAGATAACAATTGCACATATAGAAGTATGTAACTAACTGTCGCCCGCGACTTAGTCCGCGTGTGAAAAAAATACTTATGTAGCCTATGTGTTCTTCCAGACTATGTTCAATATGTATGCCAAATGACATCGAGATCTATGCAGCCGTTCTGGAGATACCTTCTAACAAATATTTATCTATACGTCTAAACATTCGCATTTATAACATGCATGTATAGTTGACTAGCTATAGCCCGCGACTTCGTCCAATTGAAATAAAAAAAATAATAATTTATTAGCCTGTGTGTTCTTCCACACTATGTTCAAATTTCATCGAGATCCGTTCAACCGTTCCGGAGATATCTTTTAAGAAACATTCATCTAAACATTCGCATTTATAATATTAGTAAGATTTGTATTCGTTGTATAATAGAGGGTCAAGTGAAGACCGCATCATCAGAGATATTGAGTGCGGCAACATTACCACTGAGTGCCAGACCTGCATCAGCTTCACAGTTAGTTCGGAGACAGCTGGAGATATGCGCACAACATAAAAGACGGCTCAGTCTTAGATGTAAGTTTATACACACGATCAGAGATGTATATATTGTTGCAACACTAGCCTTACTAAAATGTCCGACGTTTATGTCCCCTGACTAATAATCCTGATATTTGACTTTGTAACGAAAGCACTTCATTCGCCACAAAGGATTCTAACTAATAATGTTTTCTTTGTATTAAAGATGAGCGATTAAAATAAAATTATATATATTAAAAAAACGTCTAAACACTCACGTATATACGTCCGTTGGCGGCACCGACTAGTTTCGAGCCCATCGGGGGCCCTTCATCAGTGTGAGTGGGACTGGTATTATTTCGTGGACGCGGCCCCTAGCTCACTGTTACTAGTCGGTGCCGCACCGTACCGGACTAATATACGTGAGTGTTTAGCCGTTTTTTTATATAAGTTTATTATAATGTGACACGAAATTTTGAATAATATAAGCTATTGCTTGGAGATGATAGCTTTTTCCTTCGTTAAGATTTAAACGCGCTTGTTGATGCTACATGTCAGTTAACTCTCTCTATATTGTTAGTTCGCAAACACACCACTGCTACAAACCGATACCATCAGCGCCAAAATGGCGGATATTGAATAAGCACAAAATATTACGTCTTATAGCCTGTCCATTTATGGTCGGTGTATCACAGTTTTGTTTTATTTAGATATGCAACGTAACAAGACAAGTCCTGAAAGAATGACAGCGATGGTTTACGAGCCGAAGTCTCAAAGACATCTCGATAAAGGAGACTTCCAGCAACCCACAGTCACTAACTAAATATGGTAAGTTTTTAATATTTTAATAATTTATTTCACTTTGAAGAATATAATTCCATAATTAACTTTAAAAAAAAATTACACTTTAAACTCCTAACATAGTATAATAGCAATTAACAAACTATAAGGGTCCTTTTATATAGACCGAGCAATAAACTATAATAAATTGTTTAACTAAATGTCGCCCGCGACTACATCTGCGTGGAATTAAAAATAAACGTAATAAGTAGCTTCCAGATTATATTCTACATGACAAATTTCACTGAGATTCATGCAACGGTTCCGGAGATACCTTTAAACAAACATCCATCCATCCATCTAAATATTCGCATTTATATTAGTAAGATTTTACTTTTAACGTGTTTTTATGTTTGCTTTTTATAGAAAGCAACAAAGTTAAAAATAAACTTTATTTCAATTGTATAAAGGTCAATTTCTTTTGCGATAAAAATCTGCTCTGCTCTTAACCCCGGTGTGTCTAAATGGACCTTAACTCTTCGGTTATTTTTTAAAACAACAAAGAATTCAGAAGTTTCATTTTTAAATATTTTTTGACAGATGCCAGTGTTGCAATAAGAGAAGAAAAGTTAATTAAATATGAAGTAATATAGTTTCACAATATATTATTTACTTTAAAATTATAAGATATTTTTTTCTAATTCATATCTTTAACAGAATATTTTTAAAACGTTAATCGTATAGTAGTGATACCATGTTAAAAAATGGTAATTTTTGGTAACATATTTAAAATATGTTGCCATGTTGAATAATTTGGATTTTGGTAGTTTTTGTGACGTAATTAAATAATTGAAGTCAATGTACGTCTCTTACCAAAATGAGGATTTGTGAGAGGATTTTATTCATAGAGAAAAAAAAATATGAATGATTATTCAGCGACATTTATATAGGTCCCATATAAAGTATGTCCATTATTTTATAGTCAAATTAACAATTCAAATGAGAAATTATGAAAATTCATGTCATTAGCTGATAATGGCATTTATTTGACCATGGATTTGGTATCTTACGGTGAAGGAAAATACCATGATGCTGCACATATCTGCGAAGAAATTCAAAGATGTGTAAAGTCAACTCGCACTAGGCCAGTGTAGGTTGAATATGGCCTAGTCCCCCATAACTTAGGGTAGGCTCCGAGCCCCTCGGTGGGGATGTATACTGAGCTGATGATGATGTACCAGTTGATGAGTGTGTTGTTGTGAGTCGTACGTATTTTGATCGATTTGATGATCGGACTTGATTCTAAAATAAATTAAAAATATTTAGTAATAAAGTGTTTTTTGTCTTTGGAATTATATCTTGACAGGGTACATGTATAAATAACATATACAAAAATAACTAGTGAATATTGATTAGTATGATAGAAAATTTTTGGTCATTTAAATTAATTTTTAATTACAGTCACTTCTTGGTTATTAAAATATGTTATTGAACGATAGAAACATAATGTTTACTGTATTATGTATACACAAATAATATTATTTATAATATTAAAGTTAAACCCATAACGATTTTCCTAATAAGATCCCTTTTTCAATAGTTATGTATCTTCAAAAAATAAAAAATAACAAGATTTAAAAGCTATTTTCGTGTTACGTAGGAAAGGCACAAAGTTAATGTTTTTTTATCTAGTTATTATTTAAAACATTTGCAAAATTGTGTCATTTTAGAATTAAACACTAAACTGCCATTTGTGATTTTTTGTACTGATTAAAAATATTGATAAACATTATTTTAAAAAATTACTAAAATGGTAAAGAAAAATAAGATAGCAACACCAATTTAAGAGGAATAAATTAATTCGGGTGTGATTTATTTTTTAAGAAAATAAGAGAGACTAAGAAATGTTTGTTTTAAGTGTTATATACAAATTATTATGAAAGTTACTCAATTGGTAACTTTAACAAACTTTAAGTAATTAAAATATTTGTTTAAAAAGTTTTACTAACATGTAAATTATTTATAAAGTTAGTGAAATTATTTAGCATCGATTATATGAACTAGAATTGTTTAGTTTTGTATTTTATATACGGTTAAATAAATTTATGATTAAAATTATTCATTAATTTGTTTTATTTTACTATCCCCTTAGATAAGATATAAGGTTTTTTTACAGCAACTGAACTCAAATCAAAAAGAACCTGCAGCCATTGCCTAGATACTATCTTCTATTTTTATTTTATAAGGTGGCAAACGAATAAGTAGCCTGAATGACCTGACACGGAAGTAATATTTCCTTCCTACGGGGAACGCATTCGCCATAAAATCAACTTTTTTATGTTGAATAAGTTATCCTTTGACCACAATCTCACTTAATGTTATGAGATGATGTAGAACGGTACGTGCTAGTTAGTAAATGCCGAAATAGAATCGGCAGACTGAATGGATCGGAGTAGACTGAAAGAATGGCAAGTTTTACCTTCCTAGTATGATGTGGGCATCATACGAGGACGGAAAAACTTGCCATTCTTATAAGTAAAAGAAAAGGGTGGGAAGATAGAGGAACCGCGGATTGACTTCCATTTGAAGCCTGCCACTGTTTTTTATATAAATAAAACAAGACAAAGTACATTAATGACTTTATTTTTAAATATCAATTACATATTTGTTATTAATAATATGATTTTTACATATTTTTTTGTTTATAATTATTTATGGATTATAAAATATATCTTTACAGCATAATATTTAGGTAACGTCCGGTAGTATCACGAATTGCCGGGGAAGTGCCCGGAGTAACAAAGACAATATTTAATTTAAACAAAAATATACTCAAGAAACATGTCATCTTGAAACTTGAGCCTATTGATTTCAGATGACAAGTTCAGAGTATGTTTTATTGCCAATGTCACTCTATTTGGACATTTAAAATTATAATAAAATTTAACACTCATCACTCACACTAAATAAAATATGTCGTCACCGGAAACTCGTTTGACGGCTACCGGACATTGTTGTCAAAATTATAATATCAACGCTTTCAGTGAATTGCCAGTACGAAGATTAAAATAATTACCATATTTTCAACAAAGAGGTCTCATCGTAAATTTTCGTTGTTCTAAACCCATTAGCCGACTTATAAATAGAGAAATTAAAGGAAGAATAACATTTCAACGTCACTCGCCTAAAGAAGGAACTTTCTTGTGTTTTTCGCCCGTGTTAATTATAAAGTCACAACCACGATTCCATATTTTGTTACTTTCATTAAATTGAAATTATTAAAAAAAATTGTTCAATCTAATTCAAACAATTGTTCTTAATTGAGCAATGTTTTATAGAAGTGACAGTAGAATGTTATTCAAGAAAATAAAGTTTTGAAAAATAAAATATTGAAATCGAAAATTGTTTTCCTTTTTTAGGTTAACATATTTTTTAGTTTTGAAAAAAAATACCGGTTTAAATTAGAAATCTTTACAATATGGCCACTCAGTGTTATTTTTTATGTATTATAATATTAACATTGTGAACTTTACAACCAAATTAAATTAGCAATTGAAAGCCATCGTGATATTTCCCTATGTCGTATACGGTTTAAATTTTTATCCAATAAAGCTTGTTATAGACAAAATAATCAATATTAAATACGCGCCAAAACTACCATCAAAGATGGAACTATGAAGTTAATTTTAGCGGGAACGGTAACGTTTTGTCAAAGATTAAAATGCGTTATATATTCTATCCAGAGACAAGACCATACAATTCTAAAATGCAATAAACTCTTCCAATTAAATATCGAAAATTAAATAAATCATGATACCCTGTCATTTCAATACACATATACACAAAACATATTTAAATGCAATTTTTGGAGGCAAAAACATAACATACATTTGGCACTACGAGAGACGAAAAAAAAAATTTCATATTTTTCCTTACTCTATCTTAATCTGTAATTAAAGCATCTCAATGTGATTTCACATTTATGTATACATATATATAATAAAACTATATTTAATAGTTACTATTATCTTTTGCAATAATATTTCAATCTTTCATCGCAGGTACTGAGAAATCTCTAAAACATAATAGGGTTTTTAAATTTACAATAACACTCGGAAACGAATAAATCAACTATTTAAAAACATTTTTACATCGCAGTAGAAATACTACTAAATACAAAAATGCCTACAGTTATCATTTTATCCGTGTCGGTTTATCCCGCACAGACTACTGTATAGCCCATCGGAGGCCCTACGTCAGGGTAGTCTACTCACTACGCCAGCGAGGACCCCTGAAGGTCTACAAATTAGTCGTTGACAAACCGACACAGAACAAATAGGTTTGTAGTAATTTTTGTTATTTTATTATAACGTCTCATGAAAGTTAAAATAAATTTAACTACGACTACATTAAACGTAATTGTATTTCATTCTTGTGGTTACGATTATTTGTTATTTTTTTTTTAGGGCGGAATTACACAAATCTCTACATCTTTTATTTACAAACATCTGAAGCATTTACTACTTTATCTAATATTCTAGAATATAGAAATTAAATTAATTTAGAAGAATTTAGAAGTTGAAATGATATTTTATATCGGAAAATGAAGTCATAAAAAACATACATCAACATTCACATACTTTCAGATTTCAAATCTGGCGATTGAGGTAACACTTTAACGTTTCACAGTTTGAACGAATTGACGGCGACAAATTCTATTCAGGGGTTCTAACACGTATATTTGCGACACGTGCGACGTCACTTCTATGAGATTTGTTGGTGTACTACCTCTAGAGCTGTACAAACTTTATCGATGATATTATAAAAAAGTTCTCACAAAAATTCGTACTAGGACCTCCGTTTATATCTTTAGGTTGGCATAACAGGTAATGTTAGTCACTTTTACTATTCCATTTAAAAGAAACATGACCATAAACCATCAGTATCAATAGACAAAATTAAATGCAACTATAAAAGTGGGTTTTCATTGTCGAAACATTTATACAAAAACGTATTAATATCTGTCATTCTATCTGTAAAAAAAATAACATAATTCTAAATTCCATACTTGACAATGGAAACCCACGGTTATACGGTTCCGTGAAAACCTTTCAATTATGGAAATAATACTAAAATATTGCCATAATTCGTTATTACTTAAATTTATTTTCATTGAGATTATCTAAAAGCGGATTAACTAACCAGTGTGCGTTTGTTTTTTTAATAATTATGATATAGGTTCGAAAATTTTACAATACTGTCAAGAACATAAATTAATTATATTTAAGAGTTTTGCACAAAGCTGTAACTGTATTTAACAAATAATACATTTAAAATGTAAGGAACATTTTAAAAATAACGTCATTCTCTGCAAACCATTGAGCAAATTGAGCAAAGACAAAACGACTATGTTTCTTTCCTACAAGCGTTTCACGAAGCCGTTTCCTTTTATAAAATAAATATCACTTAATATTATTAAAACAATAAAAATATTTGTACAACGTCATAGATAAAATACAAATCTCGAAATAAACAACTACTCACATTTAATATACTTACATCGAATTATTACGTCCGAAAACATTATTTACAACCGTTATAAGTTAATACTGCTAAATTTAAAAAATGTAAACGTCACATTAGTCCGACGGCAGCGCCAAGAAAACACCACAACCAAAATACTGACAGATTATTAATTTTAACAGCTAATTTCCGATTCACCGACAAATTCACCGCCGTTGCTACCCTGTTTTATTATTTTCTTTCCATTACCGATTTTTACTTCACCATAGTTTTTATTTTTCTTTTTGACACCATTACTTCCCGAACTGGATGACGCGTTGTCACTGTCAGCGTATGGCACATCTGTCATGGGGCCATTTAATAAACTGGCCGCTGAATTAGATTGTTTTAATTTACATTTCTCCTCTTTGTGTTCGGATTCTTTCGGCAAATCGTGTATTATAGCTTTCTTTGGATCGATTTGTATTGTTTTTGAATCGGAAAATTTATTAGGTGTTACAACATTGATGTACGGAGGTAATATGTTCATGGTTGTTAAATTTACGGATCCGCTGTTCTTTTTTAACGCGTTCAGATTCTGTTCCAATTGTGCAGCATCTAAGCAGAGTGGTTTCGGTTTGGGGACTAATTTTGGTGGTTCTTTACTGGGCCACGCGTTAATCCGTGGTGGGTCAGGAGACGCGACTGGTGCTGTCTTCTTTTCGATTGTTAAATTGTTTTTGTGGTTCTTTTCAATAACATTAGCTTCTATTGCTAATGATAATGCGTTTTCAAGTGGCTTCGGTGATGTTGGTGTTATACTTATAAGTTTATCAACCTATGGAAAAGAATATTTTATAGTAAGCCTTAAGTTTTCACTAATAGGGAAATTACATTTTACTTTGTTAAAGTTTTAACGTTGCAAGTAAGATTCCAAATGCTTTTAATAGACAGAATAAAGGATATTTCGAAGACTAAAGTGTACTAAAATTGGTCTTCGATGACAGTTTATCAGGTGAAGTAAACATTTTCACTTTTTGCGTATCTTTTATAATCATGGTAAATTTACTCACGGCGGGTCCAGTGTCGGCGTTCGGTTTGAGGTCCACAGTGTTACTGGGCCTCGGCTCGGTGAAGGACGTCTCCCAGATGACGGGCTTTTCGTCTACTTCCGACGCGCTGTCGTCATCCATTGACGCACCTTCGATCGAGCTTAGCAATCTGTCAAGAAAACAGATTATATAACTTCATAAGGATCATAAGGCATCAAATGTAAAGAGGTTATTGGCTAAAGTTTTACCTGTCAGTAGAATTAGACGGCAGAAACTTTGTGTTTGTCCGCGTCTCTGCGGCGGAAGCAGGGCAACCGTCGCCGCGACGACTGCCGCCCCGAGACACCGTTGGAATGTTGCCATATTCTTGTGATGCTACAAATTGGTAGTTAATTTGGTAAATAAATTAATTTCATATGCGATATTTATCACTATTGAAATTCACGGAGTCATAATTTTTGTTTGATCCACAAACATACCTTTCAGAAGAGGTTGATATTGTGAATCCTCCATTTCTGGCTGGTCCGGCGCTGCCGTCGGCTGTTTGCTATGAGGCGTCAGCGGATCCGTTGTGCTACAACAAATCGTCAATAAACCGTCCTCCTTGTTGACAGTTATCAATGTTGCCAGTGCAATATTTCATTTACTACCAGCAAATAAGCGACGAATCATTTACTCAGATTTAGACATATGCCAATTGTGGTTGAAAATAAAATAAAGTCATGCAAATTTTGCTATAATTTTATGCTCGCTCAAAAGCTACTAAATTGGTTCTTTTTTCTCGCTTTAATAGCTATTTGCAGGCAATCCAATATCTATTAAGTTGTTCTACTTTAATCTTTGTGTTTTTATTTAGATACTTTTTTAAGTTAGATCTTTAGCAGTTTTTAGGTTTTGAAAACTCGGAGATTTCTCGCTATGGGTTCGCTAAACATGCATGTTAATGCTTGGTTAATATACAATGGTAATTTTGATGATTGATGAATCATTGTAATCTAAATTTCCTCATTTTTTCCAGGTTGCTAAGTAAAGTGTACAAAATAATTTCACGCGTTGTAGTCATATAAAAAATATATGACATCACTTTTGATAAATACATATAAAATTCAGATCAGATCGATTTTTTAAAGGAACTATTTGTTTTAGAAAATAAGTTTCGTCAGAATTGTAAAAAAGGAAATATAATGAGGAAGTTTAAAGTCCAATGTTTTCTATAGTCGTAATATAAAGAAAAATGAAGGTAGATTTAAAGACATTTATAATATTTTTGGGTCCTTTCAAAGTATGACAGGCGACATACACAATGACATTTCAGTGTGACCAGTTTATAACAGCTACAAAATTACCATAATGTTTTACTATGTGCAGCAAGTTATTAATTGGTATTTAAAATATTACAAGGTAAAACATAGGTAGGACGGCCATTTTGAACCAGGATAAGAATTAAATATTTTTAAAGTCTGATTTGTGAATATAAATTACAGTCACTTTCATCATCTATTTCACTTTTTTGAAGATTTATTTCTATAAAGACTGATACTTAACTCGATAAATTTAATTCTAGTATCATTTTTTTACATGTTTTAATGGAATAGTGTTCTTATAACAACTATAATATCCAGTTCAAAATGATCGTTATTTGTTACCTGGGGTCGGAAGGCGCGTCCAGCGGCGGCTTGGGCACCAGGTAGTCGGCGGCCGCAGACCGCTGCCAACACCACACACGTCACACCGGCGCCCCGCGCCCGGCAAGGGAGATCGCTACATGGTCTTTTAGCCGAGCTTTTTATAGCCTGGTCGTATTTTGGCTTAGCTATTTATAGATTGTTCGTCTTTTAGCCGAGCTATTTATAGCCTGATCTTTTTTAGCTTTGTGGTTGCAATTTTTAAATTCTTTTAAACCCTTGTTTGTTATTTTATAATACGTTTTAGTTCCAAATAGCAACTCAAACAAAATTATAATTTTTTTATTAATTTGTTTTGTCTCAGATTTCGACTTTTTGAATGACTTTGCCTTTTTTGATTTACATTTTATGACTACCCTCATACAACAACATTTTTGACATTTTTTGAAGTAAGTACCTACGTCAATGCTTTTTTATTAGGAAGCAAGCAGTCGATATTTTGTTAATTCCATAGCTAAAAGACCATGGCATTGGTATATTTTTAAGCGATCTCTCCGAGCCATTCCACTTATTATCTAAGCGTGCATTATAACGATGAGCTTTGTAAAATATCTCACTTGTCAAAAATAAAATTTCATTGACGTTGACATTTGTTTTTTTTTTACAAAACCCATGTAAAGGGACAAAGGTAAACGAAAGATACGGGTAGATTCTCGCTATAGCTACTAGGCAAGTACACTCAAAATTCTGAAGTATTTTGGTATAAATGTGAGATTCTTTGAAATGTATTGGTGCAAGCGAATGTATGGATGTATGTATTGTTTTAATGTTTTATATAATGTATCACTCCATGCGAATGTATGGATTTTGTTATTCCATTCCAATGAATCTCGCACTAACTACAGGGGTTTTCTAATTCTCTACGCGTTTCTCATTCAAGGAGAGGGTAGTTAGAAAAAAAATATGAATAAAATATAAAATAAAATTCATGCGCACTCGCAAGCACGGTATTTTAATTTCACGGATCTAACATCGATAATTTTGATTTTTTAAAATTAAAAAGAACCCAGTTACTTGCTTCTAGTAGCCAGAGCGAAAACATTTTCCAAAAAAAAAAAGAAAAAACACGGTTATTACATTAGTATTTCCTTTTATAATTGTTTTCTTTATTGTTGGGATAATTTAAATGGTTTTATTAAAGAGTTTTTCATTTAAATACTCTTTTTTTCATCTTTAATATCTTACATAATTATTGTAGGCGTTATTCTAAAAATATTTAATACTTCGTACAAAAATACGTCCACTTTGCGATGTGATTAATAATTATAACTTTCTTAAAAAAAATAATTTACTCTTCTTTGAGGAATGTAATAATACTAAATATTGTTTTGATGTTAAAAAGCCAACGCATTCTATATTTAAAATTTGACAGCTTAAAAAAATGTTGCCAGTATCAAAAACCAACCTACTGAAAACTATCATAAATATTTTTAGTATAACGCCCGTAGATAGTAATTGTAAACACTACCGAAACACTTTTATACAGTCATCTCTGTTTTTCTACATATAAATGACAGAGATAACAATATAAAGCGATGTTTCGGCAGTGGACCGCAATGTTTACCTGTGAGGCGCTGTCGTCGTTCACTTGCACGTCAGCCGGCGGGAGCAACAGAGAGCGCAGTACTGGTAGAGGTGCGCTCACGATCTCTGGATCCTGTACCAATATAACGATAATAAGAGTCACATAAATAAGTTATATTAATAGTCTGTCTCTTTCTCTCCTTAAATCATATCTTTCTTCTCTTTTTTTTTATAACAGAAGGTGGCAAACAAGCGAGCGGCCACCTACAATTGCTGAAATAGCGAAGTGACTGTGCCCATAGACATACGCAATTACATATGCGTTGCCTACCTTTAATCGACGGAGGAGAGGATGCACGGAAAGAAAATATTTTCCCTTCCCATGCATCCTCTCATCCGGAATGTCCACTTCCACTTCCCATCAAAGGCTCAGAGAAAAAGGGTAGGAAAGAAAAGAGGAGTAAATTAGGCCTTCGGTACGCACACTCATCAGATGAAACTTGGAATAGCTTCCACTTGACGCGTGTCTTCTGTGTGGTCGTGGTATTTCACCGGGCGAGCTGGGACAATTCGTGCGAAGATGTTAAAGCGGACTCTACCACTGTCTTTCGTGTAATCTAAGAGGTGACGCGTATTGAAAGTACTAAATGAATCCATTGACAATATTAGTAAATAACCACTTATACTAATAAGAATGTCGGTGGCTCAGTGAGTTAAACAAGACTTGTAATCTGCAGTTCCTGGGTTTGAATCCCGCAACGTACCAATGTGATAGATTTACATATGTACATTTATCAGACGTTCTTACGGTGAAGGAAATGCTGTGATGCTGCACATATCTGTGAAGTAATTCAAAGATATGTGTGAAGTCAACCCGCCCTGACTGTGGTTGACTATGGCCTAGTCACTGACTTAGGGTAGACTCAGAGCACCTCAGTGGGGTTAATATAACTACTTAAGATTTAACTTACTTGTAAGAACCGCTGCAGCCTGTCAAACATCTGCGCAAAAGCAGGTCTCTCTTCAGGATTTGGGTTCCAACATTCACACATTAATCGATATATCTCTTGTGGACACCCTAAAAGAATCATTGTAACACATGTCATCTCTTTCATTCTCTTTAACAAAATAGAGACAACAATATGTATTCAGTTTCATAACAGTCGAGTTCCTTACCGTATGGTTTCTCCAGTCTTCCACCACCAGAGACCATCTCCATGACCTCTCTGTTGGTACACCCTGTGTACGGCATCATGCCAAGAGAGAACACCTCCCATAGAAGTACACCGAACGACCTGCATATACAGGGTGTCCAGAATTACTTGGACAAGACATAAATCATTCTATTCTTGCTTTAATAAGGGACAAAGTACTTCAAAACTTCTTTAAATCAACTACCGGAGTCATTGTTATGTATTCATCCTTTTTATGTAAGAGAAATCTATGCTAAGATTATTTCTCACTGGCAATTAAATGATTAAGTTTTTTTTATGTAAAATATTAGCAGATTTTTTTGTAAATTAACTAATATTTCTTTTACCATTCCAACTAAACTCTATGCTTGTGCTAGGATATGGTTTACGATAATAGTCGAATGGCGGAATTCGAACCCCCGACCTTGTGGTCGGAAATCCGTACGCTTAACCATTAGGCTATTGACGCTATTAGTGTTAGTAAGTGGACAATAAGAGTTGCTACGTGAAAGAAAAAATCAACTAATAATAGTCGAATTTCTTTAGAGACATGTCTTCTTGTCTCTTCGCATCAAACAATCTCAAAGAAGAAAAGGATTCCTGGGTTACAAGAAGTGGTACAATGGCGGAAAAAGAAATAAATTTGCAGTTGTAATGGGTTTACAAAAAAGGTTTTTTTTATATCATAAGGTGGCGAACGAGCGAGCGGCCACGTGAAATCGCTGAAATAGCGAAGTGACCGTTGCCCATAGACATACGCAATTACATATGCGTTGCCTACCTTTAATCGACGGAGGAGAGGATGCACAGAAAGAAAATATTTTCCCTTTCCATGCATCCTCTCATCCGGAAAATCCACTTCCACTTCCCATCCTTTTCTTATAAGAAAGAGGATGGGAAGGGAAAGAGGACTAAAATTAGGTTTCCGACACGCACAGTCATCAGACTGTACTTGGAATTGCTTCCACTTGACGCCTGTCTTCTGTGTGGTCGTGGTATTTCACCGGGCGAACCGGGCCAATTCCTGCGCAGATGTTAAAGCGGGCTCTACCACTGTGTAGGCTAGAAGAAGACAAACTATTCAAAACATACCAGACATCAGTTTTGATAGTGAAAACTCCATCGATATATGCTTCAGGTGGCATCCATTTAATCGGCAGCATAGCTTTGCCTCCTTTCTTGTAGTATTCAGCTCGGTATACATCACGCGCCATACCGAAGTCCGCAATCTTCACAACGCGTCCTGGACCTCGCGATGTTAACAGGCAATTACGTGCCGCTATGTCCCTGGTTTAACAAATTCCATTAAATCATATTTGAAGGTATCTCCAGTACTGCTAAATGGATGTCTATGAAATTTGGCATACATATAGAACATAGTCTGGAAGAACACATAGACTATTTATAATTCCGCGCAGACTGAGTCGCAGGCGACAGCTAGTACGTATATAAATTGCTGTTGCCCGCGATTCTTAAATAGTTTGTTAGTAAAAACATCTTCCAAAC